AAATGTGGCATCTTTGCCTTATCCCTCTTAATAAGATCCTGCTGGTTTTTATTCTATTGGTATAACACCATATGCTGTTTGACAGGTGTACGAAACAAACAACTACTGTATCTGCCAAAAGTTACTAAACTGTGCATTGGAGTTTCCTGCAATATATAATAGAATGGATGCAAGATCAGCATAATTTGTGCCTCTCTCAGAATGGTGCTATCATTTTTTGATACTCCCAGCCTCCTCCAGAAAATAGATTTAGCATCCTTAAATCTCTCCTGAACTGCTCATGTCTGGTAGTATATAGCATACTATGAGAGCCACTGAACCAGTTTCATAAGGAAATGTTAATAAATCAATGAAGTGGCATGTAAATGATGGAAGATTAACTGCTCACATAACCAATACAATAAATAATCAAGAGAATCCAAATTTAATCATGCTGAGTAACTTTGCTTGTACTAAAAACCCATCCACTTGCCTACATAAATTTGCATATTTTGCTAAGTGTTTCATTTCTCACATAAAGCAGATATCATGAGGTTCAGGGCAAAACACATTAAGGTCTGAAAGGTGCAGTACATCAACTTCAAGACTGGAGATAATATCTATCACATAATTTACTTTCAGGTATTAATTTACAATATGAGAGATAAAGTAACTGGATTTTCAACAGAATGCGGTGCCTTAAAAGTTCAAATTCATTGTGTGACATTTAATCAAATGCACAAATATTTTCTTCTACAAGTTTAGCTATATTGCTTCATTATTTTCAAAACAAAATGATAATTAATAGTTGTAAAAATAACCTGAAGATGGAAAATGAAACTTTCTATAGAAGTAAAATAAGCAATATTTATGGGAACTTCAGTGTTAATACCATAAATGTTGCTGGGGAAAGGATTATGGTTTTGATACAATGGAGTTTGCGATTCTTTCACATGCCCTATATATAGTGAATACCCAGATCTGGAACAGAAACTACATGCAACAGCTGTTAAGTGTGTATTGGACCACAAGCCTGTCATAAACGTTGCTTCTTAATCTGAGAGCATCTGCTTTTTCATTTCCTTTAAACCAACCTCTGCATTGTATTTAATCTGAAACAGAATGATTCTCCTAATAGGTGCACCAGTGTTTACAAATTGAAAACCTTCTTATTAAACTAAAGCTTGTGACTACAGACATTTCAATTAACACCATAATGTCTTCTAAGGAGGATCACTCCAACATTTGGCACATCCATAGGTTGCTCTGAAAAATTGCTTTGTGAAATTGAATCATTAGCAAATTAGCAGTGCAGATGCCAAGCAAAGCTAAGGATGAAAAGGGATCCAGCCCTGTTACTCAGTTTAATTTTTGTATCTAAACTGCTAAGGGAACATGTGTAGGCACAGAAAGTGCTTAACATGACAATGAGGGAAATATGATGTTAAAATGTTTTCATGATTAGAAATAAGGAAACAGACACCATTTTCATGTCCTCTTCTATCTACATGGCTTTCACAAACATTGGCACCAATTTTCAAAGGTGTTTAGCGGTATTGGATGTCTAATTTGAGAAACCTTAAAAGGAATATATTTTCAGAAGGCAAGTGCTCAGAATTCCTGAATATCAAGACCCTATAAGATGTCTCAAGTTAGACAGTCAAAAATTCACTTTTGAAAAGGTAGGCTATTACTTGAAAGGAGACATGATAAAAGTATGTAATATAATGAATGATCTAGAGAAAATAGCTCACAAACTTCTATTCTTCCTGTCTCCTAACAAGAGAACAAGGGGACATTCAATGAAAATAAAAGATGAGAAATTCAAACTGATGAAAGGAAATATAATTTTCACACAAGCTGTGATAAAACTGTGGAATTCACTGCCACATGAAGTTGCTGAGGCCAAGAATTTAGCAAGATTCAAAAAGGGCTTGGATATTTATATGGATAACAAGAATATGCAGAGTTACCATAATTAATTATAACAAACACATTTGTGGAAGAGATATTAAACCTCATGTTTAAAGGCTTAGAGGGGTAGCCGTGTTAGTCTGTATCAGCAAAAACAATGAGGAGTCCTTGAGGCACCTTAGAGACTAACAAATTTATTTAGGCATGAGCTTTTGTGGGCTATAACCCACTTCATCAGATGCATGGAGTGACAAATACAGTAAGCAGGTATAAATATACAGCATATGAAAAGAAAGAAGTTGCCTTACCAAGTGGGGGGGGGGTCAGTGCTAACGAGGCCAATTCAATCAGGGTGGATGTGGCCCATTCCCGAGCGTTATGTTTATGTTATGTTTATGGGCATAAGATTATCTCTAGCTGTTTGAGATTAGGAGGAGACATAAATGTGGAGGCTAGATTACTCCACATCTGTCTTCTTCCTACACATTCATCTGAAGTGTCTGGGTTTGGCCACTGTTGGAGACAGGACACTGGACTAGACACTCAGTCTAATCCAATATGACAGTCTCTGTGATCCTAAATTTTTATGGATCTTCCACAAATTTTTGTTAGCATCAAATAGAATGCTAGATCTTCTTGTTAGCCACATAAAGAATCCATATACAGAATACTCAGACTCTGGTCAAAAGAGCTTCATGTTACCCTGAATGGCTTCCCAAATCAGTTAAATAGAAACAACAACATTTTAACAGAGAAACGGTATACTTATCCGACCACACAGAAGCTCTGTCTTTCTAAAGCTTAACACACAGGTTACACATCAGGAGTGAAATTCCATATCTTAAGTTGTAATCAAGTGGTGCATAGGGCCTTGTGCAGGCCTCCCTACACACCCTGTGTGACTTTCACCCCGCATTAAAGAAAAATAATCAGTTAATAAGAAGTCTCATTTTATTTGATGACTACAACCATGTGCTTGGTGCTATAAAGAATAGTAAATAAGACACAGTCCTGACCTTTGCATGGTGTGAGAAATAATAAAATGACATTCTAACAGAATATTTTTAAAATGTTGGTCTTTATTTTCTTTCCCTTTTGAACCCAGATGAAAATATAGAAATGAAAAAGACTCATTAGAATTTACTTCTCCATAAGCATTGTGTACCGTATTTATTTCACTCACTATAAAGGAAATAGTCACTATGCGTTGTTTATAATCACACTTGCTGATAATACTCCCATTTTGAAGTTGTCTCCAAAAATAAAGTTAAAGTCAGCCATTTTTGACTTCAGGGAAATATCTCTGTTGATATTGTGATAGATGTTCAGTAAACCAAATGCTTGTTTTGTTAAATCCCAGTCTCTCTTTCATACAAAGGACAGAAAAATTGATCCAAATTTCCCCAGAAGGAGTTACCTAGATAGGAACATTTGCTGACTGCAGTATATTACTTGAAATGAGAATTGTCTTGATTTATTTTTAAAGTAAATAATAATAATAGAAGCAGCTTGAAAATGTTTGATTCTTGAAAGAAAACAACAAGAAGGTTTTGTTGGCACAAACTATTTTGAATTAATTCTATCAACCCCCAGACTTCTCCTTTTGTTGACAAAAAATGCACTGCTAAAGTATGCTGCCATTTTGCAATGACTCTGGAAGGAATGAAGACTAATAGCTTATGTGCATAGGGAGAGAAGACATCTAGAAGGAGAATAGTGGGAGTTCTGTTCATCTAAGGAGAGCAGAATATTGCCGTGCCTGGTGGTTTCACCCTACATGCCCAGAATGCTGGAGTTACCAGTTCCTCCTCTATGCTATGGAAATGGCAACACGGTTTAACTCTGCAATTAATATTGCACATACGGAGTGAAACTCACCCTCGTGCACAGGGCCAGCAGAGGCCAATGCATTGAGAACAGTGGGGCAGATTCTCCACTCCGCTTTGGTGCAGTGCAGGGTGAGTAGTACAGGGAACCAATTGTGTCTTTATAATCCTCAGCCACCTAAGCTTGGGACAAATTAGAGCTGTGCCAGAGAATCAGGAGTAGTGGTGCTAGGGTGACCAGATAGCAAATGTGAAAAATCGGGACATGGGGTGGGGGGTAATTGGAGCCTATATAAGAAAAAGACCCAAAAATCGGGACTGTCCCTATAAAATCGGGACATCTGGTCACCCTAAGTGGTGCTCCCCTCCACCACTGTGATCCCTGTCCCACTAAAACTCCACCACAGAACAATGTCAGCATACACTCCAGATACACCAGGATAGGGGGAGAAGCCAGGGTTTATGCCATGGAAAGTGATCTTAGTGGATTGGAGAATCTAACCCAGTAGATGGAAGTTAACAGCCGCTTGTAGATTGTAGAGCAGAATTTTGCCCATAGTTTGGAGACAGATGTAAAATGCATTTTGAGGTTTTTCTTTCCTTGCCAGACAGAACAACAGAAACACACAGATATTCATTTTTTTCTAGTAGCAGGCTGTCTGTCAAGTTGGGTTGGCTAAGCCATACCATGTAATTTCTTAGATGACATGGAGCCTTAAACATGTCCCTCAAAAGCAAGAAATAAGAAAAAACACTTCACATATCATGGGGTTACTGTGAATGCTGAAGACTACAATTATATTTTGATATTAATCTTACTATTGCAATTTGATTGTTGTGATCTGCTCTATCAAAATGCAAAAGATAGTATAAATCTTTTTAAATAGAACGCTACACCGCTGCAAAGAACTGACGTTTCTAAGTACTATAGAAACTTCCAAACATCTAAAATAATTCATTAAAATGAGATAGCTTTCTGCTGCAACCTACTTGGCATGGAATATCACACTGAGTAAAACCAGATTCTGCATTTTTTTATTGTGTTGTCTGTTTCCATTCACAATTACCTCTAATGTTTTGATGTCTTCATGAGAAAACTGCACAGTGGGAACCCCAAGATGGTTGATGAAATAATCAGAATCACCCTGCATCTGCACAGAACTCACATTGGATCCTGGGCACTTCATTTTCCCCAGACAGGTGAGGCTCTGTCTCTGAAAAAAAAACAAATCAAGAGTTCTAGTTATTTAATTATTTGCAACTGACCTATAATGACTCACAATGATATCTGATATTTATTCAGCATTTCAGCCTGAAGGACTCTAAAGCAATTTAAAAACACAGGCCAGATCTTCCGCATGCACATCAGCATGCATCAATTCACATCAGCTTAGCACCTGGCTACATATATAGACAGGAATAACTTCATCCACCATTTAAAGGCAGCAACCTCTGTGGTGGAATGTTTAAGCGTGCACAGCACCATGGCTGATTATTTCAGAGTAGGAAGTGAAGGTGAATATCATATTCAAATGAAAGAGTGGTGGGGGAATTTAGGCAGGCAGATGCAATTACCCAAATTGGCCATGATTTGGGGGGTTAGCATCCTACTCTTACAAAGAGTGCCATGGGATCTTTAATGACCATGATGGGATCAAGTTTTTATTTGATTAGCACAATGTTCCTGTGACCGGGATCCTAGTCGGGGGGGGGGGGGGAGGGGGCACACTGAGATTGCCCAATTGGGGCCAAACTGCAAAGAATGGGGTAGATGATCCCTCAAACTGGTGGTTATTTCTAATACTTAGATTCACCAAGCCAGCAAAAAACCAGCTTCTACAACACCTTCCTGGTTACCCAGAACCCAAAACACAGTTCCTTTAAAGCAAGCCAGCCTTGGGCTCCCACCCAGATTGCCAAGTCAAATATGATGAGGATTACTGACAATCTTGTTCATCATATAAAAAGTCCTACCAATCCCAAAGGATGGGACAAATTACCCACCAGGTTAAGGACTATTTCAGATCTTACCCAAATATAAACTTACAGCCAATTCTTATTAACTAAACTAAAATGTATTACAAAAGAAAAGAGAAAGAGTATAGGTTAAAAGATCATTATGCCTACAAACATGAATAAAATTCTTAGGTCAGTTTCATAGTAGAGATGGTGAGCTTTAGAGTTGCGAAGAGTTCTTTCAGAATTAGTTCCATAGGTTATAGTCCAATGTCCAATATTAGGGTGACCCAGTCTGGAGCTGGGACCTCAGTCTTGTGACTCAAACTTCCCCTCATGAAGCCTTAGCAGATCTGAGATACAGGATCAGGGCCCAAGAGTTCTTTTTATAGTTTCCTGGCAGTCTCTTGACAGTAGGTGGATAATAGGTGAAGCATTGTGGCTTTGAAGTAGACCTATTTCCTAAGCATCACTGATAATTAGCTACATGGATTAGCATAAGGTAACTACCTATCTCCCACCATTTGCATATAGTTTATTACATACTTCAAAGAGAAATGAAGACAATGATATTACCACATTCACAGTTCATCTAAATGTTAATATTCCATTTTGATCTTTTTGAATCGATAGAACACAGTGACAGACTGGAACCCTCTGGTTACATCGTTAACCTCTAACAAGATATAGGTAAACATAGACTACTACAATCACTATCTTCTTCCAATTCTCTAACAATACAAGTCTACATTTCAAAGCTGTAATCTATCTAACATAGCTATGTTAGCTATTTATAAGAAATGGCCCTAATTACCATTTACATACTTTCCTAATATGTCTTTAAAGGTAGAATTTGGGTCATTTAGCCTGCAAATTGCTTAACCCTTTCTGGCTCAGTGTCACAGCTCCCTAACATCAGAGTGATGCAGTAGATATCTGGTCATCTCACTTTAAATACCAATGTTCCATGAAATGCTGGCAATTTAAAGGACTGTGCTGCAGTGGTTCACCGACAAGGGGTTAAGGAGTGAAATGCAATGAAAAGATAGAAACTACATAGTACAAATTTTCTGTGCTATTGATTTAAAAAATGTGCAATAATATCTTCATAATCCTTGTTTCACAGGAGTACTTAATGGCAAAATCTTAGCAAGGAAAGTGCAGTAAATGAAAGCTGAAAGCTAGAAAATAAACCCAAGACTGAGTACTAGCATCATGTACTAATGTAGCTTTCAAATGCATTAGGTAATTATAAATAGGCAAAAAGGCTTTCAATATCTATTATAGAAAATAAGCTGCCTAGCTTTTCTTAAGAATAGTAAGAGGTTAAAGTAGTCCACACTATTTGGCTGACAGTCTGTATAGTATATTACAACTCCTTAGAGCCCTCTTTGTAATTTAATAGCCTGTTTCATAAGCGGTTTGTTCATCCTTTAACATTTAAAAAAATAAATACATGAGACTAGTCAATTACAAATAAAGAGCCAGGTCCCTCTTTCTTCCACATACAGAATAGAGCATGTACTACACAGATTGTGCTGGAAGAAGGCATAATTCAACATGAATAAGAACATTGGAATCTGGCCCAAAATGCATTTAAAGTACTTTGAGGTGATATTCCGACTCTGACTCCAATTGTCAATTATTTTGTGGTTGTGCACTCTCATTTTCATTTATTCTTGAGTATTTGTTTCTCTCCTACTGCTCTGTGAAGACCCATCCACGCATCAAGGGAATCTGGCTGACTAACTAGCTAGAAGAAAAAAATGGATCTGTCTCTAAACAAAGGGCCAGCTTCTCAGCTAATGTAAATTTGTGTAGCTCCATTGACATAAATGGAGCTAGAACAATTTACACCAACCAAAATTCTTGCTCTTTAAAGTATAGAAAGAACATAAACAAAAACAGATATGAAAATTAAAAATTAATCGTATGCGCTCCTCATAATCATAATTGTTAAAACATTTCAGTCAGAAGTTTGATTTTTAAGTTGATGGAGTCCTTTCATTCCTGGTGTCTCACTTAACCTCCCACCCATTCTTTAAATAGTAGTTTTCAAACACATTAGGCAGACATTTAACAATTTCACAATGTGTGACCGTTTAAAGTGAAAAATCCACCCACTCAGTACTGTTATGAAACCAGCCAGATCCTGTACTCTACGTACTGGGAAAGGTTGTCTATAGATTAATGTGTTTAGCTCTCTTATGTGATCAAAAGGAAAGAAAAGGCAACCTTCACTTTTCAGAAATGTTGGAATCCTTGTCTAGAAAGAGTGGTATACTAGAGAGTATCTTTCACTGGCCTTCCTTACAGGCCTGATTCTGTAATCCTCACTCATGCCGAGCAGTACTTACTGACATAAATAGTCTGATTGAAGTCAATGGTTTTATTTAATAGAACTGAAGTCACATTAGAAGCTGCAGAAACTTGTCTGATGCTTCTTATATACTCAGTTCAATAAAGAGATGTTTAAAAATAACTAACTATACCTGACTTTCTTACTTTAACATATATGATCCACATCAAAAATGCAATATGACTTACGTGTCCACATACAAATACACATACATAATATTAAACATACACACACACACACACACACACACACACACCATTTAAGAGTTTCTGTTTGTGGAAACAATGCAGCAAACACAACTGCTTAGTCAAAGACAAATCATGTAGTGAAAATGTGTACACTATAGGTTAAAATGGATGGTTAAGTCCAAAATAACTTTTTTATATATCTTTTATGAGCTAGACATTTTCAGGGGTCGCCTAAGAAATACCAGTCTAGTAGCATATTTTTTAACTTGTGAAATTAGTGGCCTTTGGTAACTCCATTGCCCTCTGCCCCCACAGCAGAGAAACACACATCTGATGTACAGTGCTAGTACACGGTTTCAATGTTGAGTACCTTTTTGTTTCCTACATGACAATGTTACAGAGACACCATCCCTCTGTATGTTGTATTAGAGTAATCTGACTACTATCAGGATTATGCAAATTGGTAAATAAGGTCTGGAAATGTATATCACAAAATTGTGCAAAATGGGATGTTCACAATAAACCAGGGATCGGCAACCTTTGGCACGTGGCCCATCAGGGAAAGCCGCTGGCGAGTCGGGACGGTTTGTTTACTTGCAGCGTCCACAGGTTCGGCCAATCACAGCTCCCACTGGCCACGGTTCACCGTCCCAGGCCAATGGAGGCTGCGGGAAGAGGTGGCCCGGCCCATGCCGCTTCCCGCAGCCCCCATTGGCCTGGAACGGTGAACCGTGGCCAGTGGGAGCTGCGATTGGCCGAACCTGTGGACGCTACTGGTAAACAAACCGTTCCGGCCTACCAGCGGCTTTCCCTGATGAGCTGTGTGCCAAAGGTTGCCAATCCCTGCAATAAACCATTAACATTTGCAGATTTATTTGTATCTCCATGTAAAAATGGATCTTACTGCTATTGAAAATTCAGAGTTTGAGCTTTTGAATATCTATAGTGTTTCACGAAAATTTCCAGCATTTTGCCAAGTCAGAATATTTTTGTGAAAACAGAATGAAATGTGAAATCCTCAAATGCAGAGATTTATTAATATAATTGAGACTATTTCAGAGAGCTCTAATTGTCATTCATTACATTTTACATGATAATATAAAACTATTTTTCCTCACTCACACTCTGATTTTCAAAGCTCCAAGCATCTGTAATAGAACCTATGGGTGCTCAATACCTCTGAAAAGAAAGATTGTGTTATAGGACACCAGGCACCCAAAATGAGAGGGTATTGTGCCTAAGTATTACAACATATACGCTGATATTTTCCACTGATCTGAGATTTTGCACAATATGTTGGTTAACATCTTGGTCCCAGCAGTTCCAGTATGTGCTTTGCCATCGAAGGATACCACATTAAAAAAAAATCCATTAATTTCCAACTGCAGGAGGAGACAGCATGGATTGTTAGCATTAATTAATTTGCCAGGGCATTTATCTTGCTTTTCAAACCATGATTTCTGCTAGTTTTTGCAGCCTCAAGTTGTAATATTGCCAGATTTTACCAGGCACACCATATGAAATCTATTTGCTATATGGTGCAAATGAACTTTTAAAGGGAACGGTCTGAGGAAAAATCTTTGTGTGATGGGGCATTCACCCCACACCAGCACGGATTGGGTTAAGGTGGCAAGAGAGGCCAATTAAACTATAGGCTGCACCTGATGGAAAGCCAGGGAGTGCTAAGGCCTAATTGCTGATGAAGTCCAGC